ACAGCATCGTTCTTCAGTGCCCTACGTTGAACATATCCGGCAAGAATCGCTGAAAGGTTTGGGAAGCTTTGTTTCGTGAAAGGCTGGCAGAGGGTGCGGCCTCTGGGTATCCCCACGTCAGAGTACCCAGGAAGAAAACATTGGAAAATGAGAAATCTCCAGCGAGGCATTTTGGGGAGGTCTTTTCTGTGTTAGAGTTTTACTCGCTACAGGGTGTTTTTTCAGGGTTTTTGACTCTACAGACCGTTTACATGCATACAATCCTTCATAACACACAAGGGGACGGGTAATAACCGGAAAAGCATGACATGGGACCTTTAAAAGTTGCTGAGTGGTCAACCACTGGGATGCCAGTAGTGGTGTACTAAAGCAGGATGTTGTAAACTGACATGACAACACCTGATGAAAAATCAATAACCTCATCTCTCCACATTCTTTGAAGGGAACATGAGTGAAAAGGAAAGGGTGGGGGGTGCAAGGGTGTAAGTACATATTTAATGTGAGGAGGATTCATGTGGGTCTTGACAGGCATTGATTGTTGGTCCCCTTAAACCAGATGACACTGCTGAGTACAGATAATGTACATACATGCACTTTGTACGATGTAGGACAGATATAGAACACTACAAGTACTTTTAAAGAAACACATTTTACAAGTCTTTTATTATGACAATGTTAACAGATTGTTGTAAAGGACTGTTGATCACGATGATTTATTCTCCTGGTCATAAAGAGTTACTACCTTTCAACGTAATGTAATTTCAATGTCAGTGATGGGATAAATCTCACAAACCCTCATTTGTAGGATCAATACAGAAGCTGAAGTTAGTTTTGTTAATTTAAACATTTAATTTACTGCATCATGGATATTGTTTTTGACAGAAATGTTACCGAAAGCGAGACTTTAGAGGTCTCCTACCAATGCTATTTTTAGGCATATATTATAGGTCTCAAATATATAAAAAACATGTCTATGAAGTGTTTTGCTCAAAATACCAAACATATGACCCATTCTAGCCATGCCTCATATCTCTCTATTTCAGCCTTGTAACTAAAATGCTGATTCTGAGTATAAAGCTTAAAAAAAAAAAGGAGGGGGCGGAGCTTATGCCTGCTCATTCGGGATAATTCTACCAGCAGATTCAGCTAAATGCTGTGATGAAACGCCATATCATATTCAAAACCACATCAAGGATTATTTTTGAAACAGAATGGAGCTCAAATGCTTTTTCTCTTGCAGGGTTTAGAACAAGGTGAGTTCCTTTTTTTATTTCCTGCTTTATTACACATACTCTCTCCAGTACAGGTTAGCTCTCCTCTGAGTGTTAGCGATGCTTGCTAATGTAAACACAGACCATATTACGTCCAAAACACGGTGGCATGTTTCTGATACCGACGTTTCTGTAAAGCCAGCCCACATTTCCGATATTACGTCATATCGGACGCGAATCTGGATCAGCTCCGTTGTACCCCCGTTTTTAGAGATGTGGGTACGAAGGAAAAGAGAGAGGGTTTTGTTTTCTGACACTTTGTGAATTCCCTGATACACCGAGGAGACATATTAATGTATAAAAGACATAAAAAAGTGCATTTTGCACGATAGGTCCCCTTTAATAATTATAAAGTCACTTTGGAAGATAACCCCTTGACTCATTTTACCCAGAAATGATCAAATTATCCTTTTTCACACAAATTATGACTGTGGACTTCCCCCTCCATTTACATTAAAATACTTTCTTTGTGGCCAGTGTGCTCAGCAGGAACCTTTTTAAGATGAAAAAATGTGAACCCATTGTCTTTTTCCTTTATTTCATACATTTTACATTTTGACGTGTTCGCAGTCAGTTGTTCAGTCTGACGGTTCATTTCATTAGCTGTAATTGTTACAGTGGGATTCGATATATCTCCACTTTGATTCAACACTTTGGGTTTCAATGGGCGCCTGTGGCTCAGAGGAGGGGTCATCCATTAGTTTCAAAGTTGGCGGTTTGATCCCCAGCTCACTTGTGTCTTAGTATCACCCCAAGTTACTCCCAATAGGAAATTGTTATCATGTCTATTGGTGTGTGAATATGTCTGTTTATTGTTGAATGAGGCAAAACTGTGAAGTGCTTTGTCTCCGAAAGCCCTTTTATGCATGCAGTATTTCCAATCAGAAATCTAATATATGTTCGAGAATTGATGTCTGCGAAAGAGGGATTGTTTCATTATTTAGCAAGTATTTCCCAGTAGAAACAACTCAAAGCACTTCAGAGTTTTGTATTAGACGTTTGTTAACGCTGCTACTTTTCATTCATTGATTTGTATCCACATTAAAGTGAAAATCTTTACTAAACATTGTAATACATTTGATCTCAGTCTACACTTTTTGTCCAGCACATTTTCATTATTTTCGCTTGTGCTGTCACCCGAGGTGTGAAGGGTCTTCTTCATTTGCCGGTTGAGAAATGTCTGGAACAAACAAGTTACAATCAAAGAAAGGGCACCCAGCAGGGGTAGCTGTCTAGACCAGGAGGTGAATACTTTTATGTTGTCCTTTTTGTCCTTTTGGTTGCCACATTCAGCTTTCAGAAGCAAGATGAATGCATCATATATAGAACAACAAGTCCATGAGATATTAAACATGTACATCATTACTGATTGATTCATGAGCAGGGTTTTAAGACACTGGTTCAGGTGAGCCCACAGAGTGCCCCAAGCTATTTTTTGGCCACAGTGTGTATTATTTACACCGTGGGATGTCTTGCGGCTGCAGTTTTTTCTACTCTACAGCTGTGTTACCCAGGCAGAGGCAGACTCAACAGTGAATCAAGCTATTGGCTCTCTTCAGTGAATGCTGTGAAGTTGTGTATCTCAAATTATAATGGGCCTCAAGTGCTATTGCAATGGGTAAATGTGAGGATCTATTCCGCAGGCTTTATACAGTCTATGCTTTGGGGCCGAATAGCTACAAAGGGCATGTTTGTTTTCTTCCCAGTGTTCTTGTACTATTTTCCATCTGTAGTGCATTCTCTATTGATTTTCTCCAGCCTCCTCTATCAGTCAGGCTTTAATAAGACAACACATGTCGCCTTTAAAAGAAACGTATTAGAATGTTAATGGATCACTCCACCGACCGGTTTGCCTCTGTCTGCAGTGGTCGTGCGTGTGTGTGTTGGTTCGAACACACAAACGATTGTGTTTTTGTGTACGGGCGTGTCACCACATTTTCATTAAAACCGATGAGTACAACATTCATCTTGATGGTTTTACAGAGTAAAGGGGGTGGAAAACAAGAAGAATGTAGCACTAGAGGGATACAGGGATAAGGATGGAGAGAGTAGTAGAAAGTGAAGAAGAAACCAAGAGCTCACCGTGGCCCCTGGGGCTCTTACGGCTTGACCCGTCCTGTTTTAAAGGCTGATTATATTGTTTGAGGTTTCTGACAGTAAGCACATTTCTTGTTGCACCCAGAACTGTACTAGTAAACAGGTGAACAAAGCCTGATTTGGTAGTTATATTGAATTCATTCTGGTATATGACACAATCTCCTACAACCCCCAGATAATACTAGCTGGTAGGACCAGTACAAGTTGACAAAAAGGGCCCCTCAATGAATAATTACACAACAAGGTAATATATAGTTTCAATACTTATTTGTTTGTAGTTGATTAAATCAATTCAACAATAGATATTCGATTTCGAGATGTTTAGACCCCAATGCTTCACTTTAATTGGTCTTTAACAGCTCATTGTCTATTATTATTCTGTACATGGAGAACGGCTGCTTCACAGAAGGTAGACAGAGTTACATAAAAGACAATGACATTTTATCATCAATAAGTTACAAAATTGTGATGATTTAAGTGTGTTTTTTTATACTCAAGCCTATGTTTTGTAATTTTCAATTTCTTGTATTCTTGCATGGCTCCTAAAAATGATGTGAGATAGGAATTTTTTTGTAGCTCAAGTAAACAGAAAACCCCTATTTTCAAAGACAAAAATCTGCTAGTTTCCTCCTTTGTTTTCATGTTTGCTGTCAGATGTTGCAGTGTGTACACTGAGGGGCGATTCTACATGTTCCATAATGCATTTTGTGGATCTTTAGATCCTTTAGGAGTTTGCGGCTGCTGCCCTTTGTGTCTTTATCGAGCTTTAGCTCAAACCACAACACCCTCCGTTCAGCAGGGTATAAATTAACATTGATTTTAGATAGTCTTACTGTAGCATCATGGCCTTGGTAGCCAAATAACTAACAATAACCTTCACAGTATGAGAGGAGAGGGAGGTGGGGAGGGCAAAGAGATGAAGACACACAGAGAGAGGATTGTTCTGCACTTCATTATATATAATTGCTGATTAAAGCAACAATCTCTAGTCGCTTCACTTGTTAGTATTTTCAGATGTCCAGCCCAGCTGTGCACAATGCAGAAGCATTTGTCTCAATAACACATCGTCTATTGTGGTCTACTCTGTTGAACCTGTTGATTTAACCCTGTGGTCAAGTTGCCATTCTGAGTAATAGTCAGCAATTACATTACACGGCACTGAAAGCTGTTACTGTGCAGTGAATTCTCTCTCTTCTTCCCCCCTCCTCTCTACCATATGTAACTTTGAGAAACACATGCTGCATGCTGCCAGCTCAGCGCGTGGACTCAGCAGTCTGATGCTTGTTAATTGTTTTGATGCTGGAAAGGGAAAGGAAGGGGTGGTGGAGTGGTGAGAGAAGGAGGGAGACGGATGTCAGAAATCAGAGGGACCCCTGCTGCCATGTCTGGATGCAGCACTGGCTGCGCAGTGAGAGGATAAGGGGGGAGAGACAGCGGCAGAGTTGCGCTGTGCAGTCTGGTCGAGGTGCCCTACTGACAGCCCCAAGATTGATCTATAGAGCTCTGTATCGCACATAACATCAATTCTGTCCTGCTTTCTCTTTCATTCTCACTCTCTCATCACTCCTCCTTCCCCTCTCTCCCCTGCTCTATCTCTCTCCCTTCCTCCCCCTCCCACTGCTGCTGCTCCAGGTCCCTCGCCGGTCCCTCTCTTCCGTATTAGTTTCCAAAAGGCATCTGTAATGCTGCCGGGGAGCTCGCTGTGAGGCAGCAGGAAAGCGAGGCGAGCGGATTGCTATCTTTGTGACAGCTTCTCTGCGTGGCAGGCTGCGTGTGAGCCGGGGAACTGGACTGGACTGTAGTGTTTCGTGGTGGAGGTAGGAGGGGAGGTGGAGGAGGGAGAGCTGGACAGATGGAGGACGGTACCCAACAACTGGGACACTGCATGGTGGACATGAGGGAGCTGAGTGCCAACCCTGAAGGACTGACCGCTGCCGGTGAGCTCACTGTCTGTCTCCTAATCTTTCTCCTCTCTCTCCTCAGTGCAGTTAAACTCTGAAACACCTTGTCTGCTGTTACAATTGATTCTCTCTCCCTGTACAGTTTCCTACATTTTTCAAAATGCATGTCCCAATGATGTTTTGTTTTTGGCATTTTTTCTTTCTTGTTGCAGTGGTTGCCCCTAAAACATTGTGTGTGTGTGTGTGTGTGTGTGTGTGTGTGTGTGTGTGTGTGTGTGTGTGTGTGTGTGTGTGTGTGTGTGTGTGTGTGTGTGTGTGTGTGTGTGTGTGTGTGTGTGTGTGTGTGTGTGTGTGTGTGTGTGTGTGTGTGTGTGTGTGTGTGTGTGTGTGTGTGTGTGTGTGTGTGTGTGCGTGTGTTTGAGAGAGAGGGTGGAGGTACCTGTATAGAAGGGTTTTATATGCACGATAATCCTTAATGACTCGATTGACTGGAGTGTCATTTTTTTGGATGCATCAGTGTCATATTTTTGCAATTTAATATGGTAATAACATTATTTATGCCATTAACAAAGTGTTTCCAGATGATTCCTTTGAATGATTAAAAAACAAATGAGCACATACTGTACAAAAGATGACAGGGATCAATGTCATGTTGATAACTTAATTGTCAAGGGTCTCCACAAATGATATCCGGCAAATCGATTTTAAAGTCTGGTGGCATCCTTTCCACAGGTTTCCAATTAAATGTTAGCTTCTTGCCGTGTGGTGGAATTCAAATCACAATTTGTTTGCCTCAGAATGTAATTAATTATCATGGAGAGGACTGCCTTACTTCATTTTGGACAACACTGAATTAGATTTAGTGGCTCTGCACAGTTTGAAGTTTGGAAAACACTGTCGACAAGTCTGTTCGTACGTACGTACGTATGTGTGTGTGTCTTCGTCTTCATGTGCGTGTGTCTGTGTTTGTGTGTGTGTGTGTGTGCTTGCTTTTTACTGCAGTCATATTCCATACAGCCTGAGATTGTTGTCACTAACGAGCACTGGCAGAGGCAAACTAGATGTCTGAGTGCCCATCAAAACAGGAGAATGCTGAAGAGATTAACCATATCAGTGATGCCACAAAGCCGGCTCTCCAGGTGTAAAACATTTTGCTCACCAACAGACAGACAGACACTGCATGCAGCTCTGCTAAGCATTTGCATTGGCATGCAAGCTCGACACCATCATCTTCCCCATGAGGATAAGTAAATGGAGGCGTACAAAGAGGAATGAAAGCGTAATTCACAATGCCTTGTCTCTTTCGCCTCCAACCAAAAAGATACATGCTGAACCAGCTTACATGCACCATTACTCTCACACACACACACACACACACACACACACACACACACACACACACACACACACACACACACACACACACACACACACACACACACACACACACACACACACACACACACACACACACACACACACACACACACACACACTCCCAAGGATAACATGTAAACACCAGTATATCCTTACAAGAATACACATATGACAAGACGTTATCATGCATGCACACAGCCACACATGTGCTTCAGCAGTAATGACCTGATTGCAAACCCTCAATATGCGCTACTATAAAAAAAAAACACTGTCATAGTTTGGAGTTGACATCTGACAGGTGTGGGAGTGAAACAACAAATGACACCTCACTGTACCTCTGTTTTGTTTCCCTGAAGCATCCTGTGAGACAAAAGGGAAGAGCGAAGAACATAATTACCATGTTTAGCACGAAAAGACAAGTTGACAACCCTGCATTATCAGTCGCAAGGTGAAATAGTGTATCTCCTCCTCCTTGACAGCGCAAAGAGGTGGGTGCTGCTCAGTGCTTATTAAGGTGGGACTGAATTGGCATTTAACAAACTCCCCCACCATAAGGGGTGAAATTATGTTATTTTACCAATTAAGCATTCATAGCAGATTTTTACTGCGTGTGTTTTCGATGAAAGCTTGATCTATTGGGTTCTCATTGCACGATGCCTGACATCACAAACTGTTGTGGAGCAAAAGTCTCCATCTCCATGCCCTTGTTAACCCCCCGTTCTCCATCTCCCATTGGCGCAACAGTCAAGACCTCCTCAGCTTTCAAAACACTTCATTAAACACTGGCAACAAAACCATCTGCCTCTCAATCTCCCAGGGCAGTAATGTGACGATAACTCACTCTATCATTCAGCACCACTTGTCCTAATGGGACGCCTGTTTGTGCAAACATCAACTGTGTTAGCGGTATGTTAGCCTCGCTGATGACTGAATCAATCAGGGGTGTCAGGGTGTTGTTAAGGCTATTTGTGGGCATGTGATGTGTTAGTGCATATACGTGAATTATTAATGTCATCTCAACATCCAAAGTAAAGGACATTCAAAATATAAACAGGACTAAGGCACAGGCTCCTTTATGTAATATCTATTCATGAAGAGGATGAGCAGAGGTGATTAAGAGTGTGTGCTATACCCACTGCGAGGGGCTTTGTCAGAGCTCTTTTTGGAAATTGCCTGATTCTTTTTAGTCGAGCTCGAAGCGCCTGATGTAGACCGGAGCAGCAGCAGGCAGCATTTTGGAGCTTTTCCACAATTATTTTTTGTGGAGTCAGGAATAAGAGAGCAATCCCATGTGAAATCTGTGTGCGCACTCCCCCACATTTCCTACTTCCGTCCCTCCTCTCAGAGTGTATGCTCGGAGCTAGTGAGTTGTTATCACACTGTGCAGCGGGTGAGGACGCAGGGCAATGAGAAGGGAAGAGGGTTAAATGATCATCTGCAAGACGGACAATTTAAGTCCCTGTACATTAATTAGCTTTGTCACTCCAGAGAAATCCCCTATTACGCTCACAGCCTAATAAATTACCCTATCCTCTGCCTTTTTCCCCACTGACACCACCTGCAGACAGTGGGGGTGATGGATTGGAGGTACAGTGGGGGCTGTGCTATTATTTCTAGAGCCAGATGAAACTGCGGTATAGTGGGCAGGCACAGCTAATTTGCTTTGGGCCCCTCTGGGAGTTACATCTGCATGTGCCGCCTGCCTGCCCGTCGCCATGCTGAGCGTATTACCATATTCATAATGCCAGCGGATATCGATTTTAAATACCACACCTGTTCCACTTTTCTCCACGTACTTATCCGCACATGGGAGCTGGATCACCCGTGGGTTTCACGTCCTAACGGGGATGTGTTTGAGATCGACTGTACAGATGGTTGACCTTTCCCCGTGTGATGGGCAATTATTGTAATTAGACTTTGTGTATATGTTTTGGTCAGCCTCATTCTCACCAAGAGGTTAATGTCATGCGGTGTGCTCTGTGCTCAAAGACAAGAACGGTGTCATGGCATACATAACAGGTGTTCTGTCCTTGGGTCACCTACGTATAATTTCTCCAGGATTTTAATAACTGGATGTTGTCGAGCAGCTTCCAGAGCTTTACTATTAAATGTCATGTATTCATTCTCTTAGATTCAACAGAACCTGTGTTTCCTGTCTTACAATCAAAGCATCTTGCCGTGTTCCTTCTATATTCTATAAATACTTGCTGTGCTCTGGAATTCAGACATCTTTTAACTCCAGTCCTCCTCCTACAGTACTTCACTATCAAGCATATCTCGTTGCTTTACCATATGCGTGTACGTCTCATGATCAGTATCCCCAACCCATATCAGACTCCTTTACGTCTTATCTGTATTCAATTAGTTCTGCAATGACAGATATTTTCCCAATGCTTTCCCTAGATAAGTTGGTGTGTAGCACAGATGGAGTCCTCCAGAGTAAGTGGGCTATTCAAGTGACAGTCCCTTATGATGGCACCAGAGACCCAGCAGCTGGCACCGTCTCAGCCCACCTAGCTAAAGGGATCCGCGTTGCCACAACACAACATGTCATCCAGGCTTATTAAAGTTTAATCAGCACTCGCATAGGAAGCCTTAGTGGTGACAACAAGAAGAGACACGAGCCCTGAGGAACGGGATAATGATGAGAGTAATGTGAAAAGCACATAATGACACAGAAAGTGTATTTACATACTTAATTGGCCTATTTGTGTGCATGTGCGTTGCATAAGTTTGCATAAGCCTGTTTATTCAAATGTTACGGAGCCCCCTAGGGGACATGGAGAAGAACAAAATAAAATGTTGATTTGAATGTTGAAAAGTTTTGCGAGATCTCGCAATACTTTTTGCGAGATCTCGCAAAACCCCGTTGCAGTTTGTAGACGGTCCCTAAGCACTCCTCTCCCTCCTCAAGCTGCAGATTGTGACCAATTATTGATGTTTAGCTCGGATGACGGCGCGTATCGAACTGTTCTGATAAAAACGACTCTGTAGCTCGTTGTCTACCTTGCTATGATTGTAAAGTCATGTTGTTTGTATTTTTACAACGTTATGTTCATGAGTTATTGATCCGCGAAATTCAAATCTGTCAATAACTCAGCTCAGAGGGACGTGCATGTCCCCTCGCTCTGAGTGTTCTCTTGAGGTGTCTTCACTTATGTGAAACCTTTTATATATACAGTCTATGTGTGAAACCCGTGCATATTGCCAAGCACTGATGTTATATCTTTATATTTAAGGCCAAGCTCAAAGTAAAATCGATGAACCACTCCATTGTTGTGGTTTCTGTGTTGCCGTAGCAGCCGAACTGACCAGGAAGTACATTGAGCTAAACGAAACGTTTTGCGAGATTTTTTTTTTTCTCCTCCATGTCCCCTAGGGCAGTGCTTCTCAAACTTTTTTCAGTAATGTACCCCCTTTGAAACATTTTCTCAGCCAAGTACCCCCTGATCGACCCCGAACATTTTTGATAGAAAAAGCCTATATATATTTATATGTATTTTTTTAATCAACGTTTTTTTTTTAATCTCACGTACCCCCTGCAGTACCCCAACGTACCCCCAGGGGTCCGCGTACCCCCATTTGAGAATCATTGCCCTAGGGGGCTCCGTAAAATGTAGCCTACCCCGACAGCAGCTGTCAAGCTTAATTCACTGACA